ACATGCTTCTATAGTAAATGATATGTTTAACCAAAGCAACTTTAGGAAAGAAACATATGTTTGACTGACAATGGAAAGATATAATCCATCATGGGGAATGCATGGCATTGGGGCTTAAGACTGCTGCTCATGGTACATTTGTAATAAAAAAGCAGGGAGACCTCTCTTGAGACACCTGGTCACACTGCATCTGTAGAAGGCTTGAGACTTCTGGTAACACTGCTTCTGAGGTAGGGAAGCAGAAAGATAGGGATGAATGCTGGTGCTCAGCTAACCTCCTCCTTTTTGTGCAGTCCAGGATTCTAACCTATGGAATATTGCTGCTTCCTTTAAAATGGGCTTTTCTTCCTCAACTAGTCTAATCTAGAAATTTCAGCAGAGATATGCCCAGTTTATCTCCTAGATGATTGTGGTTTCTGTCATGTTGACAATAACTATTTGGTATCACACACGTACACCAAAACTCTGACTCCAAAATCCACACAAGAACTTTCACTGCCCCATTGATGCAATCAAGCATCAGCTTCACAGGTCCATTTTAATTAAAGTAATGGGGTAGTCCACAGAGGAGTCAACCTAGGTAACAATGCCACCTTGTTTGTATGTGCACAAGGCTACTTAGAGTTAATCCTGTGATATGAGTATCCCACAAGGAAAACCAGGTGTGAGTATGGGTTATATGTCCTCATCTCCAATCTTTATCCTAACACTATGCTTAAAGCTAAACTTGTGATGCCTATTAACTATGTTATGGGGAGCAATGTGGAGCCATGAATAGTTCTATTTTATCCTCTGTACATTATACATACCAAAAGTGCCAAGTATTATTTCAAATTTACTCCCCATTCAAGATCTAGAGGAAGAATTGGCAACATGAGCATATTTAAAATGAACATTCAACTCTGATACAGTTTCCATCTCCATTTTGGCCAAAGACAGAACATGATTCATTTAAAGTAATTAAATGAATAAACAGTCACATAAATACGTAAAGTTGAAAATGTACATCCAATATAGAAAGAAATGTCAAAGCAACGATTGAGTGATGATATTTGGACTAGTTTTATAACCAAGTTGGATACATGGAAAATGTAGACAAGTTAAGTACTGATAGATGATAGGTTGATAGGTAGGTGATATAGATAGATAGATAGATAGATAGATAGATAGATAGATAGATAGATAGCAGACAGAAAGATGGATGAATGATATTAGACATACAGATCAATAATAGATCACTGACAATTGGTAGATAGTAGATAAATTATAAAACATTGCTAAATATATGATAGATAGATGGTAGTGAGAATGAGTAATTGTTAGGAAGTCTTTGAAACAAAACTAGCCAAAGCAATATAGTTTTCAAGTAATCATTTCTCACCATGGTCTTCATTCTTTGATGTTTTATTATATCTGTCATATCTTTAAAATTATTCCATAATGTCTGAAATATTACCTAGCATGGGGAAAGAAGCTTTGGGGCTACATTAATATACCTTAGAAATAAACTTCAACCTTCTTATAAATATTATGTCCATTTCAAAGCTGTCCATTTTTATTTTTCATTCTATAACATCTTTTCATTGAATAATATCTTTTTGCTATCTTTATCACCTTTGTGTATATTCTCCTTGTACTGGATAGTTTCATGTCATCTTGACACATGCTAGAGTCATCAGAAGACAGTGCCTCTGATCAGAAGAGAGATTTGAGAAAAGATCTCTGTAAGACTGGTCTATAAGTAAGCCTGTAGGGCAATTTTTTAATTAGTGATTGATGGAAAAGGACCGTGCTCATTATGGGTGTTACCAACCCTGGGTTTTTGGTCCTGGATTCTATAACAAAGCAGGCTGAGGAAGACATATGGAGCCAAGTCATTAAGTAGCACTCCTCTATGGCCTCAAATCATCTCCTGCTTCCAGCTCCCTGCCTCGTTTGAGTTCCTGATCTGACTTACATTGATGGTGAACAGTGATTCGGAAGTATAAGCAAAGAAAACCCTTTTATCCACAACTTGCTTTTTGGTAGCAGTGTTTCATCTCAGTAATAGAAACTATAATCAAATCAGACATTAAAATCATTTTTGAAGTTTCAGGTGAATCTGTTAACAAAATGGGCATTCGGGTAACTTCCGTAGCACTATGGGTTTATGTTATTTTTATTTTAGGAGTAAAGATTCAATATAATTAGTTTTTTTCACTAGAATTTACAGAAGAATACAGTCCTATTTCAAAACAACAAAGCACATGTCTTTCTGGAGATACTATGCTTATCAATTAGCTGGTTTGGGAAACTGTTCCTAGGATGATTCACAGTCACTCAGCATAATGCAAGTGCATGGTATAATGGCTATTACTAAGGAAACAGTTAAAACCAAATCATTTCTTTTGTCTTCTAATATACTGAGACTGAGGTGTGAGGAGATGAAATAACTTCTCCCAGATGGCAGAAAGAATTGGTGGAAAGAATTAGCACAGGATGGCCGCACAGCGAGGTCTTTCCCCTTTTATTTATTTTTAGTGAAACCACACAACGGCTCTAATCTTATAATAACATTTGCCTTCAACATGCTTCCTGTCAGTGTTCTCTAGTAGAAATGCTGTGGGTTATTGCTTTTCTTTATGGGCCTTTGTTTCCCCATTTGTAATACTAAGAGGGTGGAAGAGGGAAGAAACCACATGATTGCTCTGCTCAGTTCCTTTTCTGCCCTTTGAATCTATGAAGAATAGTGTTGCAATTATGTGGGTAAGATTCTCAGATGGGCTTTTCAAGCCTTCCCATTTCCTCCTCTGCTTTGATGTGAGGATGTTCAGAATTAATTTCCATGCCAAGATGCAGTAAGTGCTTCCACTCAAGTTAGCACAATATCCTACAGACATTCCACATAGTCCCTGCAACTTTAAGATTTATTTATTTTTATTTCTGTCCCTGTGTGTCTATGTGTGAGTGTGTATGTTCACTTGTAAGTAGAGTTTCCTCAGAGTGGAGAGAGGAGCATTGTATCCCCTGGAACTGGAGTAATAGAGGTGTTTATGAGCCATCTAACGTGGGGGCTGGAATGGAACATGGGACCTCTGTACGGCAGGTAGACTGTCTTAACTGCTTTGACAGCTTTTCTGCACATTTGCAGCCCTGCTGTCAGCCTGTGTACTGGCCACTGATGCCCTGGTTTCATTCTCATATGCTGTCATTGATTAAAACCCCAAGTTTAGGGAAGGGAAGTGCCCTAAGTTTCATACTGGCAAAAATGGCTTTCAAGAACAGAGCTCTCTGTATTTAAAACCATATTCCCCTCTTCCCACTAACTTTAATTCCTCCTTACCTTGTTTTTTTCATTTTTATTGAAAGAATGGCACGTCTCTGCACATTTTCAATATAAAAAATCAAGATAACTTTTTATATATGTGCATATGAATGTTGTTTTTGCCAGGGTTCTTCAAGGGAACAGAAAGGTGGCATATGTATATGGAATTTATTAGAGCATCTTACAGGCTGTGGTCTAGCTAATCCAGCAATGACTGTTGACCAGTAGAAAGTCCAAGAATACAGAAGTTGTTCAGTCCATGAGGCTGAATGTCTCGATTTTTTTTAGTAATCACTAGAATCCTGAAGAAGTTAACTCTCATGCCAGTAAATGGACTTTCCAGCAGAAGTGAGGCCAGGCAGGTAAAAAGCAAAAACTCTCTTATCTCCATGCACTTTATATAGGCTGCCACCAGAATCCATGGCTCAGATTAAAGATGGTCATCCCACATCAAAAGATTCCCACTTCAAACAATTCAATACAGAAAAATTCCTCACAGGTGTTCCTAAATACTTGGTTTTACTTAATTTTAAATGGAATCAAATTGACAACCAAGAACAGTCATCATACATGTTTGTGCATGTATGTGTATGCTTGCACATATTCAGAAGCCAGGGGGAACCTCAGGTATCATCCCATAGATGTTATTCATCTGATTTTTCCATTGGATATTAAAAGAATGTGTGTATTTATGCTTGGAGTGGGGCTGGTAGCTGTGCATGTGGGTGCAAACGCCTGTGGAAACCAGAAGAGAGCACTCGACCCTCCTAAAATGCATCAGAGATAGTTGTAGATAACTAATGTGGGTTTTCTGTAAAAGCAGTATAGTCTCTTAACTGAGCCATTTTCCCAGCCTGTTTTTGTTCCTAAGAAAAACTCTCATTGGCCTGGGGGTCTCTAAGGAGGCTAGGCTGTCTAGTCAATAAGACCAAGGGGTCATCTTCTCTCTGTCCATGACCAGCACTATAATTACAAGCTTGTGTCGCTATCCCCAGTAATTTTTAAAATGTCACTTCAAGGCTTAATTTTCAGGTCCTTATGCCTACATAGCATTGTTTCATCTCTGATAATGATGGGTTGTTTTAAATATGCTTATGATATATAGTTGTTGTTGTTGTTTTCAACCTATTTAATTGTTCTTTAAGAAATTACCCCTGATATCGTGTTTATTCTAAACTTACATAGATATTTTGTCCCTATCAAAATTTCCTATACAATGTAGTATAACTACTGTTTACATAGCATTTATCTTTTATTAGGTATCAAAAGCAACATTGGGATGATTTAGAGTATATGCTAGGTATATGACTATGCTATTTTCTGTGAGAAAGCTGAGCACCTGTAGACTTTGATATACTTTAGAATGTCTTTGAACAGTCTCCCCAGGGATAAGGAGAGAGATTGTATTGGTCAATTTTAAATGAATAATTTACATTAAATATATAGTGTAAAGCCCGTGGAATAAAGGCTCATAAACATAACCCCTAATACTATTTGCCCCCATATTAACTTGAGATAGAGCCCTATAAGAACCAAAATTCTTGGCTCTTGCTTTAAAGAATAGAATGCCTTGATACCATTGTCTGTATAGAGGCTTCAGGGGAGATTTCATCGTACCTTGAGTAACCCACTGTTTATGTCCTTTTCTCTGAACTTCCATTCTTACTTCTCCTGCTTCACATTGTTGTCTATGCAGAGGACAAGATCTGGATGACAGTTCAGCACAACAGCACAGAGCTGACTCGGGTACAGGGTTCCAACCCTGAGAAACCCTATTCCATGACCTTAAACTATGGTGCCAGTATGGAGCAGCTGGAGGCTCTTATTGACGGCTCAGAGCACTGTGAACAGGAGGTGGTATATCACTGCAGGAGATCTCGCCTTCTTAACACACCAGGTAAGGTTCTGCCCTTCTTTATGGTACTCTGAAACCCACATGGCAATACTCTGTGTTTTTCCTGGCACAAGCCAGAGTTGTTGAAAAAGTGCAAATCTCAATTTAAAAAATGTCTTCAAATGATAATTCTCTTAGTGAGTGATGTGGTAGGGCCAAGCCAATTATGGGTAGTATTACCTCTGGGTCCATAGTCCTAGGATATATAAGAAAAACAATAAATAAAAATAAACCTGACAATGCCAGGAGAGAGCAAACCTTCAGTTCATGTTTCCTGGTTCCTGCCCTGACTTATCTCAGTGATGGAGTGTCACTTGAGAATCGTTAAGCTTTCCTTCCCAAGTTCTTTCATCATTGGGTTTTATGACAATAGAAATACTAGCTAAGACATCCAAAGAGAGGGATATTTGACAAGAAAATGACTGCAACATATTTGTTCGTTCTGCTTCAGGAGAAGATGTGACTCAAAGAAGATCACAAATCTTGGCTTTGATATTGAGGGAGGTCTATTGAGTCTGTACTTATCTCTACATCTTCAGAATGACATAGTAATAATACCCACCCTCATCAGCTGTGGAGATGAAGAGATCTTTGTCAGAAATGCATTTGAAGACAGGGCATTTGAGCTTGATATGGAAAGGATGATAATTGAACATTGTTGGAGAGGAAAGATGGCATCAGAGTTATCAAATATTCCAGTTCCTACACACAAAAGTTATGTCTAAAATAATGGATATCTAAGGAGTAAGCACTGAGCAATAAGGCCAGCAAGACAGGCAGAGACTTCTCTGTGTTCACAGAATTTCTGTTTCTTGAAGAAGAGAGATTTTAGTGGATATGAAAGTAAATTTTTATTTTAATGAATTAAGCAGCAGTTAAAATGGGGTTTATCAAGTAGCATTCATTTTCGTTTAACTTGCTATGTAGCTGAAAATACCTTAAATTTTTGGTCAACATGCTTTCACCTCTGGAGTGCCGAGAATACAGAAGTGTGTTTGTTTTCTTCCCTGCAATACTGGCCTTCAAGTTCAGGGCTGTTGTGCATGTTTGAAAATCACTTTACCAAGGGAGACGTCCCTAGCCCTGAGGCTTCATTTCAGAAGAAAAAAAACCCACAATGGCTAACTCCTTTTATGTTCGTCCAGTTCTGTTGTTTTATGGTGAATGAATGATTTGGTTATTATGTGTGAATCTAGTTATCTCTCTTGCTGTTGAGATGTAACGCTGAACAAAGTATCCAGAAGAGAGATTGCCTTTGTTCATAGTTTAAAGGCCACCATGCCAGGGAAGGCATGGTGGTAACAGAATGATGGCCGAGGGTAACAGGAGCATGGAACAAATGCCTGCTCATCTCCTAGAGGACCAGGAGGCAGAGAGGGTAATAGTAACATTCAGCTAGGCTTTTCCATTTTCCTTTTCATAAAATGCATAGACGGTTTGACATACTAGAGTCTATGTTACCCTGGCTGGCACAGAACACTGTATATAGAACAGATTAGACCTGGACTCATAGAGATCTATGTGTATCTTCTTCTTGAGTGTTGAGATGGAAAGTATGTGCCACTCAGCCCATATGGAGTCATTCATTAACACCAACATTAATTCATCCTCAAGGCCACAAGGGTATCGGGTGTCCAAGGTAGAGTTATCGCATCCTATCATGAAGTTTAGTATCCAGTGGCTAGTGTTTGCAGGTTTAGAGTGGCTGGGGTGAAATAGAGACAGAAATGTCAGTAACGCATGGGTGGGAGACACCTGACTAAGTACACCGCACTGCCTGACTAATCTAGAATCTTCAAGGGAAGATACTGTTCCACCTAAGTGAATTTTCCAGATTACTGTCACTTATCCCTTTAAACGCTGAAAATATTTTCAAAGAAATTTTAACTATTTGAAATGGAAATCTTTTTCCAATGGATTACATGCCTCCTTGCCTTCTTAAACACAGAACTCAGAACAGAAAATGGGACCCTTATTTTGATGACTCAGGATCATCACTGTGAAATCAATTCCAGCATGGATTCAGCCATGCTTGTCAGGCTGATAAGATCAGTGCTGCCTCTCCGTGTTCCTTTTCTTGCATTCCATTCCCCACACATCGGTAGACTTGGTTCACTATCTGTCTCTGTGAGTAGGTCTCTGTCCCCTGATGATTAAAATGAACTCATACCACCTAAGCTCTTCTCAGGATGTCTGGATCTAGGAACTGCCCTCCTGTCTTTTAATTTTTCTTGTCCTTTTCCAATGTTCGTGTTCAGGTGAAAAAATAGAAGTTTTCCCTGTCTTACTTTGGGTCTTTCCTCAAGGACTGACAGTCATGTCAACTATGTTATGTTATCTCCTTTATTTATTTATTTGTGCATGCATGCACGCACATGTGGGTGTGTGTGTGTGTGCTGTGCACACATGACTAGAGTGCCCTCGGAGGTTATATTTAACAACCCGCCCATCAGTCAATTATAGGCTGTGGTGAGCCACCCTATGTGGGTGTATAGCACTCATGTCCTCTGTCAGACTGGGGCACGTTTGCCGCTGAGCCAGTTAACTCTCCAGTCCCTGTTATTCCTTTGTGTGCATGCATTGTCTTCTTAACTAGATTGTCTTACGTTCTTTGAGTTTAGGTTTGTATAGGAAGAGACTAGATTTGGGAGGGGGACCAGACTGGAAATGATGTCTCAATCTAGTTCTTACCTGACTTGTGTCAGCTTGCTTAGTTTCTACAGTTTAATTTCACCACCTGTTAAATTTACATAAAAAATTAAATTCATTATGATGATAGGATGAAAGAAAGACAAGCAGTCTGAAATTTAGAATGCACCCTGTTTGTCTCAGGCATCCAGTAACCAGTGTCTCTGCTCCCAGTTTGCTTCTCAACAGAAAAGGAGCACAGGGGATGCTATGATGAAGAACAAGCTGAAAGGGAATTTCCTTTCTATTATTTGTTCATTGAAAAAAATCTATACAATGAGTTTCTACCATGTCTACCGCCTCTCCTCCTATTCCTTCAAGATACACATCCAGTACCCATCTAACTTTGTTTCTATTTTTTTTTTGTTTTGTTTTTCGAGACAGGGTTTCTCTGTGGTTTTGGAGCCTGTCCTGGAACTAGCTCTTGTAGACCAGGCTGGTCTCGAACTCACAGAGATCCGCCTGCCTCTGCCTCCCGAGTGCTGGGATTTGTTTCTATTTTTTTAGTACCCATCTAGTCCAGTTCATTCTACCCATATATTCATGGTGCTGTGTCCTTTCACAGCAAAATGATTGATTTCTCAGGGATTACAGCTCATAAGAAAATTGACTCTTTCTCCAGCCACTATCAGTTGCCAACAGCTCCTCAGCTAGGGTCAGAACTTTATGCCTACCTCCCTTCTTTATGCTGGTACTTTTGTCTGGCTTTAGATTGCACAGCTCTTGAGTTCATATGTTCAGCTGTCCCCGTGGTGTCCAGAGAACACTGTTTCATTTTATTCACTCACTAAATTTGAATATTATATTCTTCCTCTCCTATAGTAGTAGTTTGTGAACCTTTGGAGGAGGGCCTGTGATACAGATGTTCCATTTAAAACTGCACTTTGCCCAGGCATGTATTCTATGACCTTGGCTAGTTGAGAGTCTCTATTAATCATCAATTTCTAAAAATAAAAGATTTTCTGAATGGGGTTGTGAGATGAATTAATCCATGGGAATGAGAAGTCATCAGGAGACAGTTTAATACTGTGTACATCTAGCAGAATAATAGTAGTAGGCTCTTAGATGCAGAGATCCACAGTAGAGCAATGGGCTGAACTCCCAAGGCCCAGCTGAAGAGTGGGAGGAGTGAGAATATGAGCAAAGAGATCAATACCATGATGGAAATACCTACTGAAACAGTTTACGTAAGCTAATGGCAGCCCACCAACTATGGCCTGGCAGTGAGGGAAGCAGAATAAGACCAAACTAGGCCCTGTGAATGTGGGTGACATTTGTATGGCTAGGGCAGACTGTGGAGCCACTGGCAGTAAGATGAGGATTTATCCCCACAGCTTTGTTCTGGCTTTTTGGAACTCAGTTCTTTGGATGGATACTTTGCTTGCTTAGATATAGTGGAGAGGGCCTTGGTCTTACCTTACAACAATGTGTTAGACTTTGTTGACTCCTTGCCCTCTATGAGGAGTGGATGGGGGCTGGGATGGGAAGAAGGTGGGGGGAGAGGGAGAAAAGAAAGAAATGGAAACTTGATTTGGCATGTAAAATGAGAAAAGATTGTTTTTAATTATATATATATATATATATATATATATATATATATATTAGTAGGCTCTCTCTCTTAGGACCCATGAACACCGCCCAACAATGCTCCCAGGTTTGTTTTTGATCCTGTGGCAAGGGACTTACATCCACCAGAATGTGGTTGGTTCCTTGCATGGTGTTCTTACCTCTAGAGTAGCAGTGGGCCAGTCTTACCAGATCAACTGGTATTGCATCTTGCAGGGTGCACAGACGGTTAGACAGAAGATATTCTTCTTATCCAATAGGGCCTTACTATCAGTTTCTAAAAGATAGCCAATAGGATTGGCAATAGCCTGTGCCATTTGTGTATTTATAGAGCTCTACTGGCCAACAACTTCAAAAGAAGAAAGCATTTTTTTGAAATTGAGCTTTTTATCTGTAACCTTATAGTGTACAATAGATATATCATTGTCCCACTATAGGTTGACTGTAATTTAATTCCCTCCGTGTGTGTGTGTGTGTGTGTGTGTGTGTGCATGATTATAATTTTTTTGCAGTAGTAGGTAGGGGTAGGTTTCCATTATTATCTAATTGCAAAGTAGTTTAAGAAACAATTCTCAGCCCCATTATAGACTTATTTATCCTGTACATCAGACCAACGAAAGGAAGAACAAATAAGTTTGCTGAGATCCCTTGCAGGTACAGTGCTTTACTGCCAAACCTGAAAATCCGAGTTCAATTCCCAGGATACATATGGGATTAGGAAATAATAAATGCCCACAAGTTATCTTCTG